GGGGTCGGGTTGCCGTCCCCCCCCCCCCCCCGTTACAGAGCTCCTGCGTGGAGGCTCCACGCTGCCAGCCCTGCTCTACCCACTCCCCAGCACATCACAGGCCCAGGTCCGGTAGGCAGAGCTGCGCTTCCAGCTTTGACTCTCGGCCCGGCCAACTCTCCGGAGCGCAGCAGCGTGCCAGGGCCAGCCGCAAACTCGCTGCGCTTCGAGCGGCACCGGTACCCGCTTCTCCCTGGGACGTGTTTTACTGGGCGCGAAGGGTCTGGGTTTGCAACCGGCAGAGCGCGGCGGCCTTGCGCAGGGCGCTGCAGGTGGCTGTGATGTTTGCTCTGGAGGCTGATGCAGCTCTGTTTGGATTAGACCGGTTCAGGTGATCTAGGTGGGCTGCGGGCTGAAAATACTTTTGAATGGTTAGCTACTGCGCTGCCTTTTTTAGCTTTGTGTGCTGGATAGGGACAGAAAATGTTTGCAAATAATTTAATGGAAAGATTTGGGTTTTTTTTTTACATTTACCTTGCAATCACATATTCAAAACAGAGCCATGCCTTTATCAAAACATAAAAGGGTCACTGTGGTGAGATACTAGGCTCCTGTCTGGTCAGAAACGGTGCAAAGGGCCTTTAAATAAACACATGGAGCAGAAAACAATTAGAACAATTTGCAGTGATTACCAGAGGTTCCCGTCTGTTCTGTTTCTCTAGCTGGCACAACCCCCTTTTTCACAGCTCTGGTTAGTCTCTCCTGCACACAGGCTGAACGGCAGACCACAGCTTAGCTGAGGATGTGCTGGGCTATCCAGAAAGCATGGTGTCCCTGCGAGGGGACTGGGCAGCACGGGCATGACAAGATGCCCACAAAGGGGGAATCCCAGGCGTGTTATCTTGGGAAAAGCCCAGATCCTATCTGGTTAAAAAAATACAGAGTGGCTGAGGCTTTCTCCTGTGCTGGTCCCATAGGCGAGGACCTGGGAATCAAACTGGCTTCTCAAGCTTCCCTGCCTTACCTTGACCAGCAGAGTTTCTGAATTCTGCCACAGATCTCAAATAGAGCAAAGTCAGCTCGTAATTCATTTACCCATCTCCCCCCATTTGTGGTTGCTCTGGCCATGGGGGTTTCTTATTTTTTTTAATAAGATTTTTAAAAATAATTTCTTTCCCTTGGAGACTTTTTCTTTCTTTGCCTTTTAAAACCATTATTTTCCCTGAAGACTCTGCAGAACCTCCAGGAGCATCCCCAGGGGTCCTGCTTTGCGCTCCTTCAGCATAGCTCAGGATCTCATCCTCCCTCCCCACTGGGTTACAGACATTTGCAGCTCAGCATTATTTTTTTCAGTTGTGTTCTTCCAGTCAGGCTGTTCCCACAGCATGAGAGGAGAGCGGGTGACCTGCGCCAAGCCAAACCAGGAAAAGGCATTCAGTGGTGAGGCTTACTCTGTGCTTTATCTGCATTTTGTCTGGTTTGATTTTTGTGGGTAGATAACAGGATTTCAGTCTCTAGCCAAGTGTGCCAAACCTGCCATTAATTATATAATAAATAAAAAAAAAAAGTATGCCAGTTGAAACTGAGATGTTTGGTGTTCATCCAAATCTGCATGCAGAAATACCGACACGCAAGCAGAAATCATTGCAGTTACACATTAAACTAAATGGTCAGTTCAATTTCAGAGTGTTATGAACAGCTCTGGAATCACATCAGTAGGAATGAGGTGAGAATTAAATATGCTTTCACATACATTTTTGCCTGGAAATCATCAGGAATGTGAAGTCCCTGACTTTGCGTGAAACTCTGTACCTTTGATTACATGTGATTTATCTGCACTGGCATATAACTGGCTGCCTTTACAAAGCTGCTGCCTTAAACATCAATTACACATCCTGAAAACATGACAAAGTTCTTGCCAAGCCTTCACATACTTAAGCCTGCTACGGTTCTTGCTTTTGGGGGATGGTAATTAATATAATAGGTTACCTTGGCCATGGCGATTAAACTTTCCATTTAAATGCAGGATTTTAAAGGAAGGCCAGTTACTGATGCATACAAAAGCATTGCTCAGTTTTCAGAAAATATTATGCTCCCTTACCCAAAAAGACTTGTCCAAACTCTCTCCTCTTGGGTATCGAAACACTGAAACACACGCAATTACTTGGCCTGTATGGTGGAAACATTTCTCCTGGCTCTCATCAATTAAAAATGTGTATTTAGTCTTTAATTTAAGTATGTATATTCCTTTTATGGTCAGCAGAAAGAAAGAGAAACGGCAAAGCATAATCCGTCCTCTCCTAAAACAGACCACTGAGATAGGTAGGATGAATCACGCCCCAGGGGTCCCATCCTGCCCTGGACAGTTGGTGCAGCATCACCTCTACACTCATCACCCTCCTTTGTCTTTCAGCTCCCGGAGGAGTGTCGTTAGTTGTCCCACAACCCAACATCAACGCAACAGTGGCACAAAACATCCTCCTCTCAGTTGAATACTCTTGCAGAGGCGTCGCCACCATTGAGTGGAAGCACGTGTCGAGCTGGGGCACCACCAAAATTGTTGAGTGGAAAAGTGGGAATTACGTCAACATATCCACTGTCTACAAGGACAGAGTAACAACTTTTGAAAATGGCTCTATACAGCTTCTGAATGTGGGCATGAGAGATGCTGGCTACTACTTTATCACTGTAACAGAGGAGTATGGAACCAATGCCTATGGCACCATCATAGTCAACGTTTATGGTACGAACTAGATGGGAGTTCTTGGCTTTACCCTGTGTTTAAACATTAGTCTGCTTGTAATCAATTTTATAATATTAATTTTTTTCTGTCCTCCCTGCAGAGATTATCTATGAAGATTTACATTTTGTAGCAGTTCTTTTTGCATTTCTCGCTGCAGTGTCTGCCATTTTGATCTGCTTCATGTGGCTGTGTAATAAATCTCTGCATCTATTTCAGAAGAAGACGGCACACAAACTAACAGGTATCTCTCTATGAATGCAGTCAAGGTATAGGGTTTTCAAGCCTGAATTCTGAGCCTAAGATTCACTTGTGATTTGGGCCATAAAGGTGCTAAGCAGGGATACTGAGCAACAAGAGTGGAAGGGCTCAGTTCAGTTACCCTGTTCAACTCTTTACTAGCTGAGGCAACTGAATAATAGGTATTCAGTTGCAGAACAATCCACAGGGACATCTACCTTATACATTTTACATCAGAAACCACAAAACACTTCCCAACATTGCTAACTGCAAAACTTAGGGAAAAAAAAAAAGGCCAGAGCTGCAATAACACCGCGTCAGAGGGCAGGAGACAAAGTCAAGAACATGAGCAATGCTCTCAGGGTCTGCACTAGAAGGGTATCTCCTAGGGGAAGGTACTCAAATGGCCCTTGGGAGTGGCCCTCACCTCACTTCATGGAGGACTGCACCCCTCCCTCTCCTCTCAAACCCCCCTTTCATCTGCCTTCAGGTTTGATGCAGTTGCGCACTCCAGCGAACACTGACTAATACCAAAAGCAGACTCCTAACATGCGCCAAAGACACCAGTCGTGAAAAGCAGATCAAGGGAACACAAGGGATGCACCGAAGGGAACATTCACATATTGAGAAAATTTTCCAAGCCACAGCCAGGGTTATTTGGCCTAGGCAGCAAGACAAGGTGCTACACTACAAGCCTGGGCTCAAGCTCTGGGCACATCCTTGGAACAGGAGGTTTCTTTTACCACTTCAAAACATTTCAGGCATTTACCTCCCTTCTAAGTGCAGATCCACTAGTGGTTTCTTGCCCTGTAGGTAAAAGGTCTGTGTTTCTTCTCTAATAAGCGCTGCTTAAGCTGTTATATTATAACAAGCACCCTAAGTATCAGTATTTTACTAGACCAACACAGATACCTAAAAATCCTAAGCCTCATGGCCCAGACTGTATGCCAACTCTGCAAAACCCAATACAAGAAGAGATGAATTTGGCTCGAGCCATCTCTACCTTTCTGCCACTCACCTGCAGCTCTAAGGGCTGCTGCTGTTTTCACGGTGCACACACCACTCACAAGCTTCTGTAGGTACAAAAAATTTTCCCATCATGCCAGAATATACAGGCTTTTTTGGCTAAAGCCTTTTCTTCCTCCAGTTAAAGCCAGTCTTCCTACAGAGCTGAATTTAATACAGTTATTTGGCAGAGTTCAGGAAAACCACAGTTCTGGAGACTTGCTCTGTCATCTCCCAAAACATGATCTGAAGCAGGGACTTAACTTCTGCCCCAATTCCACCTCAGAACAGCCCTCATTTGAGAAGTCATGAAGAGAGGTATATGGATGGGCCCTATGGACTTCAGTTTTCGTAGCGCCTTTAGTCTTGTATTGGAAGAAACCAGCATCACTTTAAAGATTGCGAGGGACTCTTTATGCAGTTAAACATTTTGAAAAGATGTATTTAAAACCTAATTGTAGATGAGTAAGCTTGAGCTAATATTAAAAAGTTCAAAATGTCTCAGCTATTAACACAGCGTTGTTAATTTTGGAACACTGGCCTTCCAATCCATTTGCCAATCAATAATAATATCCTTTTATTTGCAGCAAGTACAACTGAAGAGATTGAATTGGAAACCATTGAGTGTTAGCCAAGGACTGTCTAATAACAACAAAACCAATTCTACCTCAGGAGAAAGCGTTGGCAAAGAAAGCAAGAAGAAACCTAAAAGGTAAAATGTTTGTGACTACTGTAGAAACATCCTGACTTGCAAACTAATTAGACATTAAATCAGCAATGTCTGATGGAGCTGTTTTGACCTGTTAAGTTTTCTGCTCTGCTAGCCAAGGTCAAAGAAAAAAAAGAGTATTCTTCCATGCTGAGCACGAACACATTTTTCTGGCTAATTAATAAAATCTACAGCCTCTACCACTCTTAAAAACAACCACCCAACCAACCAAGCCTCTAAGATCAACCCATAAAGGAAATGATCATGATCTTGAAGGACACCTGTTTTCTGGCTACAGCAAGTCTCCTATTACAGACAGAACAGCCATTAGCATCCTTTAACATAATAAATTTAATGTCTAATTACAGTATTACATTAAAAAATTAATTGCAAGGATTGAATCCTGTTTATTGCACCTGTGCTGCTACTTTTGGGCATAAGGAAGTTCCTGAAGCTCTGAAGACAAACTAATTCTTTATGAGACAAAACTGACTTTGAAACAGTGCCGAGCTGGTCAAAGTTCCCCCACTTACATTTCCAGTTGTTTACGCTGCCCCTGGGTATTAACACACATTTTATGACATTACTAGAGAAGGCTGTTGAACAAGGAACTGTGCACAGGCACTGAACAGGATGCCATCTGTAATGATTAGAGGGGTCAGATAAAATACTGACACCACACTGGTGGGGTGGCAAAATACTGAACAGTTTCATTGTGAAAGATGTTGAGCCCTTTGCAAACTTAGCCCACTGATGAATAGTCTATCTGGGAAAAAATGTTAAAACAGCATTACTTTGAAATTTAGTATTTATAAATACAGTTCTGAAATTGCTTTTGTTGAGAAGCCGCCTTTGCTTTCCTATGTTGTAAGAAAACATGAAGTGATCTAACTAATGTCTTCCTGAATCTGCATATTGCACTTACATTTTCCACCTGCAGATCTGCTGGGTGGAATAACATTTGCTTTTTTGAGTGAGAAAGCACTAAACTGACTGAGCTTCGAATTATCCTGTTTTGCTTTTGTATCGAGAATAATTTTGCAGTGTGAAATAAACTTTGAAAATGTAAGAGACCATGGAATAGTCTGTGTCTGCAGATTGCCACATGGCTTTTTGAGCCACACTGCTGCTACTGCCTCTCTCGCACTTCAGCTCACTTGTTTGCAAAAACCTTTTACAGGACAGGCTGACAGAGCTTCCCCTCTGGTCAGGGATCACGATGCTCAGGTGCAGAAGTACTATGGGTTAGATTTGGAAAAACAGAGAATTTCTCAAGTGCATAATGATGCAGGTAGGTGCCAAACAAGCTTTTTCCAAAGCACCCTGTACACAATACCTTTACAAAGTCATCCCCAGATTGAACTGGCCATTTATAGTATAAAGGGCCTCTCACCCACTTAAAAATTCAAGTACCAGATTCAGCTGGTTGCTCCTTCCTGCACCTAGAACAGGTCAAGAAAAGGTGAGAAATCTAGAAAAAAAATAATCCCAGCTACAGCACAACTTGGCAAAAAGTAACACTTTGTTCTAATTCTTCACTTTAAGTATGTATTACCAGCCTTCTGTATCCTTGAGTGAACTAAGCTTTGACAACACAGAAGTTGTAAGTGCATCTCTTTTAATCACCAAGCTTGAAGTACTTTGTAAAGTACCCGTATAGCATATGGAAAACATTACTAATTTTTTTTTCTGTTTATCTATTCCAGATTTTTTTTTTAATCCCTAAATCTTAGAACCTGAATGTGAAGTTATGCATTAAGCTGAGCTGAGTATACAGCAGGTGCTCTGCCAGACTTATTTAGAAGGTACAAAAAGTGCAGCTTACACATTAAGACCATTATTACCTGCTAACATTGACTTGAACACTGTAATTGCCAAAGGAAAAGTCAGGAAATGTATACAGACGTGACCATTTGAATGCATTGCTGTAATTGTAGAGATCACTTACACTGTTAAACTACAATATTTGAAAGCTGGGATGAAAGTAGGAAATGACCACTTAAAATTCTTCAATTTAAGGTGCACTGTAACAGCAGTAAGTTTCCAACTAGCACAGTTGTTTTACCTCAGCTTGGCTAACGATACAACAACTTCAGGCACCCATCCTTGGCTACTGATGCTGGTGCCAAACTCACTTTTAGGTAGTAATATCCTAGAGGAACAACAGGGATCCAAATAATATTCATTGAGGACATACAGTACAGTTAGCCTATGTACTGCTTTCCTTATAGACAATTCCTCAGCCACAAATTTTACCCAGAATTTAACATGCTTACCCTACATAGATAGGATCACTTATAAAATATTCACATTTTCTGAAACTGGTATTTGTCAATATGCATTATTAATGTCAGTAATGCTTGATATACAGAACGTGAGGCTAAGCTGTGTGTAGCAGTTTCTTGCTACACTGGAGGTCCCTGAAGTGTCTAGTCTTATGGCAAGCAGTTAAAGTGGAAGTGTAGAAACTAATAGCTATTCTTACTCCACTTGTAAACTCTGCAAAAATGCAGAACAGCGGCAATTTAATATTTAGAGCGTTCCGAGTGATCAAAGGGATTAAGGCATTTTGCTTTTAAACTTTAATTAAAGAGATGTCCAAGTTCATAAGACTGCTTTGGCAATCAATTGTAAAGCGTCTTAATCATCCGCTAATGTCTTCATTTCACGTTCAAAGATGCATTACCAAGAATTTCAAGACTGTCCCTCTGTTAGAAGCCTAATCAGTCTGTTTTCCATTAAAATTAGGAACCCCTGTGTATTCAACACTAAAAGACAGACTCTCCAGGTCTCTAATAATTCTTTTTTTTTTTTTTAAATTTTTTTTTTCAGCTAGGCCTGGAAGTCTTGACAAATGTCTTCACTGCTAATGTGCAGTGCTTGCACTTCTGCAACACAAGAGAAGTCCTTTTGCATCCACCATTTCTTTTCAGAAAGGGACAAATCCTGCAACTATGAGTTCCCAATAGCTCCACAGTGATCCTATTACTTGGTAATGAAGAGCTTATTTGACAAAAAGGCGATCACTACATGCAGACGTGTCAATTTAAGTTAGTAACAGTGAAATGTAAAGATACATTTAAGTTTCATACGCTCATCTTCTAATTATTAGCAAGAGGAGATTTGTTGTGTTGCCAAGAGTCAAAACAGCCACATATAATCGGATGCACAAATAGATGCATCAAGCTGTTGGCTGAACTGTTGTTCACCAAGGAAAAAAAACCCCCCTCCGCCTGTAATCACAGAGTGTCTGCTAGTCAAGCAATGTGGGACCTGGCATTACAGGTGTTGCATAAGATTCACCCATCTTTCAAGATCAAGAGACTATTTTCAGCTAGTATTTTTTCTGTTTCATAAGTTGTCTTGGGTAACTCATCAGAACCTGAAAGGAAAACCCTTTCTCTCTCACAGTTCAGTTGCACAGAAGCAAGTACTGCAAGGAACTGAAATAACAAGATGTTCTACACTGGTAAACACCAACTTAAGTACAATAGCTGCTTTGGATACGCACTGAGCAGCAACTTGCCACAAGCAGTTGCTTAATATCTATTCCAACTAATCTTTATTGCTCAAGAATACAGCAAAATAACAACTGTCACCATACAAGTATGATGTTAAATTCAAACATGTTCTATGTGCAAGAAGTTCTCGTATATACACACACCTCCCAACATACAATATGGACCTAGGTCTGAACCAGTTCATACACTCAGGTTTCAAAAAGACCTTTAGCAATTAATCATCAAACAAAAGAAAAGCTTTGTGCAACACCTTACCAGAAGCTTCAAGAAGGCTACAATTACAACGAAAAGACATAAACATGACTTTTTTATTTTAAAAGAAATCAAAAGAGCTGATCTTCAGGAGGATATTGTTTCCCTGGATGATAATCAGTGACAGTGCAGAAAAAAAAACCAAAACAAACAACAGCAGAAGTGTAGAGATCCAAGGTCTACTGCATGGGAGTTACCTGCTTCTATCCAGACATGAATTTATACAAGTCACCCACAAACTCAAATTGTCAAAATTTTGCAAGCAGAGTAAGACCCGTTCCTCTACCTGCTTGCAAAAAGCAAGGACAGAAAACACAAACAAAATAACCGACACCACACAGGCTCATCTATAGCCATCAGAGAGGAAGACCTTTGCCACAGGCTGTGACTTTGTAACACTCTCAAATTAAACAAATCCCTAAGTAAATGTATGTCTCAAAAAGAAATGGGTCACTCAGAAGCCATGTCAATGTACAAACTCCAACTAAAGAATGTCATGCAGTCAAGACTGTCCCTTGATTCTGAAGTTTTGTTTAGCCTTAATTGTTGACAAGGGAGCTCTGCTTCTCCTCGGTTTTCCCACTTCCCATCAAACAAGTCCATTAGCTTCCACAAGGATAGCCATTCCCTGGGGTATAAGCCACTAAAAGGCTTATCGATAGCACAATTCAATTCTAATAATTTTCATCTTTCAGAAATACTTGCAAAGATCTACTGAGAAAAAGTAGGGGCACAAGGGGAAAGGGAATGACACTGAGCAGACACCTTTCATGTAGCAAAGGACTACTGAATTTAATTTTGTAAAAGAAAAATAGATTAATTACTCAGCTATGTTGCTCTAGCTAGAGCAATCTGCAAAGATACAGCCAAAAGGAACTTTTTTGAAGTTGTATTTTATATATCATTGAAAAAAGTTTTACTGCAAACACTACAATGGACCTATCTGTACAGGAAAAATTTGGTTTTGCTTTCTTGTATTGACCCACAGGTTCCATTTCCCTTTGCTGCATGGGCAGTGATCGTTCGCAGCACAGCGATGATTCAAAGCCCCCATGGAGAGGCTGACAGATTATTAGCATGGAGTTAGGGCAGCCATGAGGAGTTCCATTTTATACACAAAGTTACGCCCTTCCATTTTATTCCACTGCACTTCCTTGAACGGCCCTCGAAGATGATTCCACTTGTTGTCTTGCAGTACATCACCTTTGGGGAGATCCTTGCACTGACTCCGCGGAAACTGAACCATAACTTTGCTGCCACTTTCCGGACCATTACGTACTGTGATGAACAGAGATTTTAATGAACATTCTTACACTGTAGGAATTCCTCATATTAAATATCCTTCCTCATGTATGCTATACATTACTCCTACTCAATACCAAACACACTGAAAGCAAACAAGGGAAATTACCTTAATTTTTGTTTTTTAAAGTTTTTCTCTTTGAATTTTCTCTCTCTCCTCTCCCACTTCTCTATGATTTTGCTGCTTTAGCACTGCATATTCTTGGTTAGAGCAAACCAGAGAAACATTTGACAAAAAAACCCCCACATGTACACCTTACAAATGCATTTATTTTTCCCTAATGATGCCAGGAAGGGCAAAGTATTTTTGCTGATTCTTACCTTGAATGTATTCCCCACAATTCTGTTGAAAAACGTGATCAAAAAGATACTGTTTGTAGTGGATTTATCTCAAGTGGACAGGAATGAAGTCACTCAGGATCGTTGTTGCTTTTAATCACAAAATTCTGCAAGATTGGTGGAGGGGTGGTGGTGTTCTATTGGCTTGGATGGGGTTTTGTGTTTTGAGGTTGGGGGGTGGTGGTAGTGTTTTGTTTGTTTTTTAAATAAGCACTCAGGAAGGTAATGCTTAGCTTCCCCCTCACCTACCAAGCTAGCCTTCTACAAAGAGATGACTATCAGGCTGACTGAACATAAATTCTCCTTCATATATCAATGCTGACTATTCCCCACTACCTTCTTCACCTTAATATGTTTGGAAACTGCTCCTGGGACTGGTTTTTTGCCTCAACTTCCCAGTAATTGCAATGAGGCTGACCAGACTGTAGTTCCCCAGATTCTCCTTCTTGAATACAGGATGTCACATCTGCCTTTTTCCAGTCTTCAGGAACCCTTCCTGATCACCATGACCTTTCAAAGATGACCAAGAGTGGCCTTACAATGACATCAGCCAACTCTCTCAGCACTCATGGATACATCCCACCTGGTCCTGTGAACTTGTCTATGTCTGGTTTCTTCAAAGGTTCTCTAACTCAATCCTCCTCTACTGAGGGCAAGTCTTCTTTGCTCCAAAATTTCCCATTGGTCTCAAGGACCTGGGATTCCTGAAGGCCAGTCTTAAGACCAAAGCAAAGAAGGCATCGAGTACCTTGGCATTCTCCATGTCCTGTGCCACCACGTCCTCTCCCCATTTAACAGCAGGCCCACATTTTCCCTATTCTTCCTTTTGCTGCTAACATACCTGTTGAAGCTCTTCTTGTTGCCCTGTACAACCCTTAGCAGATTCAACTCCAGATGGGCTTTAGCTTTCCTATCCCCATCAACACATGCTTGGACAGCCTATCTTCTTCTCAGGTCAACTGATCCTGCTTAAAATCTCTTGCAGATTCCTTTTTATGTCATGAGTTTAGTCATGAGCAACCTGTTCATCCACACAGATCTCCTGTCACCTTTGCACAACTTCCTGCACATAGGCTTGAGCTTGAAAAAAATAATCAACCAGCTCTCTTGGACCCTTCTTCTCTCCATCCCATAGGATCGTATCCCATAGGATTCTTCCAAGAAGATCCCCAAAGAGACCAAACTCTGTTCTCATTAAGTTCAGAGTTGTGATCCTGGTGTTTGCAGTCTTCCCTTCTCTCAGGATCTTGATGGTTTCTGTAATCTCTTTTTTTCTACGCTAATTCTAAGAAATATTTTCAAGCCTGTGTAAATTAAATCAGGTTTATCAAAGTATTGATTCTATTTAGGTATCAATTTCATACACAAGAGAGATTGTTTCTATAATATTTTGCTATAAACTGACATTATTCTATAGAAGTCTAGAGACTCAGAAAGAGACTTACAAAGCCTGTGTAATTCACTTAAGAATTCTAAGATTTTCTATACGTTTGCTATAGAAAACACTACCTGAAATGGCATAATCTCCATTTGGTGATGCTACAGTTATTGCTGATGCATTGCCAATACTCTCCACCGGCCCCAGACCAACATGATTGCTGAAACTCAGCACGTGCCATCCCATAACTTTCGCAAGCTGCTGAACTGCATGTACTTGGTGCTGTGACATCTGAAAGATAACAAGAGGTTCATCTTCTGTTTGATATTTGCACATCACAGAAAGAATTGCTTACTGGTTTTACCAAGCATTTTTTCTTTTGCTGTACAGTAGTTATTTATAAAAAGTGACTTTGTCTTATAAGTTCTTTAGTTTCACAGGAACTTGCCTTTTTTCTTTTTAAACATATATGCTATATAAGTGCTAGCAGAGCTTTGTGTTATTTGAATTTAGACTAGTTCCTCTGCAGACAGAGAAGGCCTCTGCATTAAGCACACTATGCAGTTAGATTAATTCTTCCTAGGTAAATAAAATGCATAAGCCCATGTAAGTATTGCTTTCAATTTACAAAAACCTTTATTTAGGTCTCAAGAAATACAAATAGAATTTTGAAATAATCCTTTCTTTGAATGGAAATGAGACCTCTGCTGTAAAATATATAAAATCTGTGAGAATATTATCAAAGCAAACTCAGGAAAAAAAAAGTTGAGGTTCTCAGATGCATGATTATCTCCATTAATGCTCAAGTGTAAGCATTGAGCTTTAACAGCTTAAAAGTTTAAATGCTAATGTTTTCTTGTATCAAAACATAACACTTGTAACAAGGAATTATCTAGCACTGTTCACCAGTTCTCTGTGAACAAGTCTGAAAACACTTGACCAAAAAGAGATACCCTCAGCAAAATCTGTTTCAACATGTTTTCTGTGTCGTGGAGTTTCACATAACTGCAACAGGCCAACCACTATTAAAGACCTGTATTTTGACTACTTATAATGCATAGTAGAGAGACTGTCACTTCTGAATAAAACCAGCAGCTTGCTCTAGGCAATTCAGAAAACACAGTTCATTCAAATATCAGCTGATTTAGTAATGGCTAACGCAAAGTGAACACTAACAAGACAATGTTGCAATGACAGTAATTGTGGGCTCATTAAGATCTCTACTCTAGATAGGACTTGGTTACAGCAAGTTTCATATATTGAATACCTTATTGCCTGCTATAAGTCTCACTGACTTGTTCTGAAGTAAGCAAAAATCTTAGTGTTCCCATAATGAGTAGCACAAAGAAACGTATTTTACATGGGAGGGAAAAAGTTGTTATTACTACTGACCTTAGTAAAAACTGGTATTATATTTCAGTAACAGTTGCTAAAGTCACTATACAAACGTACTGAAAATTTCAGTAATCCACCTTCCTATTTTCACTGTCTTTATTTGAAGTCTTCTAACATTTTCTACATAGATAAAGGTGAGATTCTAACTTCTGTTTTTCAAGCATTACAAGAAGGGGAAGAATAATGTATATGAGTCTACCTGAGATAAAAGGAAATCCTGCAGTTCTTGCTCTTGATGGGACAACGTAATAACTCTTCCATCTCTATGCACAACTCTGATCTGTTCTACTCCAATGTTCAGCTGTAGTTGAATGGATCTTTGAAAACAAGATGCATATTTATTCAAAATGCATTACAACACTTAAGAAAACAGGAAACTAAGAACGCAGAATCCCTCCCATTCATTGACAAGAACTCTAAGATGAGGATGGTGCGAAGCCTATGGAATACAACAGCAACTCCAAACATTTCAGTTTCATCACTCACCACAATAGCTACCTCTATACTGCAGGGGACATATTCTGTGGCATGTTCCCAGACTTGGTCCACTGCTTGTTCAGGTCAAGGAACTTCCTGAGGTGCCTCACAGCTCCCTGCCTGCCGCTGTGCCCAAGTTTCCTTCCAGAGGTGCAGGGGAAAATGGTGTGTACTCGGGGTCTGTTCTATCCTACCGCCAAGACTTGGGCAGCATATGTACTCTCGGAACTGAGACTGCAAATTGCACCAATGAGCGCAGTCTGCTCCACACTGTGGACACAGCCAAAGAGGACTGCTCAAAATGGAAAAAACAACTGGGTCATCCACTGTCAACACATTAGTTAATTAGCTGCTGGTCAGCACGCAGACATTCATTTCTGGTACATGAGATCTCTTATTTTGATAAGAATGTGCATAACTAATAGCATGAATTACATGAGTTCCACATTTCAGTACCTATGCAACCAAGCTAGGACTGAGCACTGACTAGCTCTCCACTAGCTCTCCAAGACCAGACTGGAAGTTTAGCATCCAGCACATACAAAGATACTTTATATTCAGCTATCTCTATCCAAAGTAAATCCCACCTTAAACGGCCACTTCAGTTCCTTCTTTGAAAGGAAACTGTGCTAGTTAGCAACTCACTAAGTTTCTTCATTAAAGTGTAAAGTGAGTGAAGGGTGGCTGTTCCCCACCAACTCAGAAGAACAAACACTTGCACACAAATAATGGGCTCCTACTTGTCTGTCTGAAGAGAACCTAAACCTGTAAAACACAATTTGAATACACTCTGCCATTGCTGCATGCTTCTACAACTAGAAAGATACATGCATTTTCATACTTACTTGCATATCTGTTCATATCCTTGAGAAGTTATTAGAACTTTAACGCTGGATTCATAAACATCATTTATATTGGACCAGTGGGCCTGAATCTGAGGATCCTCAATACGGCTAGCCAGACTGTCAATGGTTCGAGCAGTTCTAGAAAATAAAGACATATTCTACACACAATAATCTAGACAGTTTGTGCTGTTATTTTGTTTAGAGGAAATGAGTAGTTTATTAATTTGGGGGGCGGGGGGGGGGATTGTGGCACACAAACAAAAAAAGGCAAATTTAACAGAACCATATAGATCAGGATTCTATTTCAGCACCATTCTGGTGCTAATGAAGCACACTTCTTTACTCTGTACATTTCATATACATTCTGCAGCAGTATTAAAGTGGTATTACTCAGTATCGGCTACTGCACAGCAAAGAATACTAAAAAAGATTTACGCAGTTTAAGAAAAGTAGGGACAATTATCAGCATCCTATGTCCTAACTGTCACAGACACCTTGAAGAAATCTGTTGGGTTTTTTTCCTTTTGTTTTTACTAGCCGAGTGTAGTTAGCTCATATTTCATGATATGTTATTGGTTCTTAGTACTTAAAAATAAAGACTATTTTAACAGTGAAGGAAGAAGTAGCTAGTTTTAAGAACACTGAAAAAAGATCAATTGTATTCGACGTAATAGTACATTCTATTGTAACTGTTAACAAGAATAGCTTGTGAACTACCTGCGTCTCAAAAAGATATGTTTTGCCTGCTTTATTATCTTTTCCAGAAGTCCTTCATTCGACTGTAAAGAACTGATATCATTCTTATCAAAAGTCTGGGGTCCTGCAAGTCTCATTCTCTTATGGCCAAAAGGCGCACTAGCTGGATGTGGCATCACTGTTGAGCTCAGGGTTTGCTTGTGACACTGCAACAAACAATAGATGTTATAAAAGGAAGTGACCAAGTAATGTATTTTCAAGAAATAATATGTATACTACAATATGCTGCTTCACATCAGGTTTTTTGAGTGTACGTACTTTCAAAAAGTGCAACTTTTTTACTTTATAAACTTGACAGCACTTTAAAGCCAGCTTTACACTCAAACTTTGCCTCCCCTGTTTATGCAGGTCTTTCAAACCTTATGGAAAGTGTTTTTTAAAAAAAGGTGCTAGCTAACAAAAATTTGGTAGTATGGCAGTAGCTCCTAATAAGTGGAGACAGAATGGTCAAACAAAAATAAAGGAAGCATTTTAGAGATAAAAAATTCAGGTACAAAAAGATTAGCAACCTGTTCAAAGTCAAGAAAGGAAATTCACAACCAAGCTGGGCACTGAGCCAAAGCTTCATGAAACCTAGTTCAATATTTAAAACACTGGACTTATTCCACATGACTGCATGACTTGCAGAGCCATGCTCCAAGGAGATGAACACTCTCTGGAATACAGTTTCACAACTGCTTAGACATCTAAAATTGTGCTCCTTTTCAGAACAGACGAAACCTCAACCTTCTGCCCCTGGTCCTTCTGCTAGATTATATGAGAATCTAAAACACTGAAGCAGAGAAGTGGACCTCAAAAGAAGCAACGTTATTATGGTAAGTGATTGTTCTTTCTTCCTGGGAGTATGGTCTGAACAGATGCTAACTTAGAAGTACTTGACAAGCACTAATTAGACACAAAGGAAAAAAGGAGACTGCTGAACTGTACTGGAAAAATCTTGCACAGCTTTTCTGAAGTGAGTAGCTGGGCCTGAGGTTAAGTAAAGAACTAGTGTTCCATGAAAGCATTAACTGGAACTCCCTAACCACCTATACAGACTAAAACTGAACAGTAGGATGCCTTACACAAATGGATAGTGACTGGCCTCTAGTGGCACTCTGTTGGTACAACAGTGCCACACACTATGTAGAAGACTGAACAAAAGCCCCAAAACTCTTCAATACTTGACCACCATAAATGCATTACCTCTCGGATAAGTTGATGCAAATTATGTTCCAGAACATAGAGATGATCCTCTGGATTCTGTTTTTCAGAAGCAGACTTTTGTGATTTTTTGTCATTGGAAGAGTGACACAGAGAAATAGACAACTGCAAACCTGTACAAAGCAGATTTAAAAAAAAAAAAAAAAAAAAAGAGGACACCAACAATTTTCAAGGAGGCTTCTGAGAACTACTTTTCTTCATGTTTTATAGTCAGTAGTTTTACAACCAGTATTCACCGTATCAGAGAAAAATCAAAGAATGGTGTTGGAGAGCACAGCACCAAAGGCAAGTAAGACTTGCTACTCATTGAAGTGTTGACAGGCAACTATTAACTCACTAGGTGCATTTCACATCAATTTCTATGACTCAATTCCACACAAAAAGAGCAGCCCCCAGGACCTCATTCCTTCCACAAAGAAGGAATGATTTACCATCATATAAATTTTAAGCAATCCAGAAACATATTCTTCACATGATACAATCAGTTGTGTACCCCTTGTAAGAACACAGGATTCACCAGCTGACTGAGCTGTCTTCGTGCTGTTTAATTATCTTCACTGAAGCCATTCTTCTAAAGACCCATTAACTCAAGTCTTAAATTTCACCTGCATGCAATCCAGGAGCAATGACTTATGCACAGCTCCAAACTGCAATGTGCACATGGCATTACAGTTGACAGCTTTAAGTGCTACTGACAAAAAACACAATCACAAAGAAAAACCATGCAAAATCCACACAATAAAGTATGAGTAAATTAGTAACTGAAGTGCATTAGTTGAATGTTTCTACAATTAGCAAGCAAAATTCAAATTCTGGGAAATTCTGTTTTTCAAAATCTTTGAATAACAAGATTACTCCCCCCCCCCCCCCAAGAACAGAGCGTTAAAAAAGGTCACATTAATCAGAATTTCAGTTCATGTATAAGCAAATAATCGTAGGTTAAGAAGTCTTAAAAAGTTTCCTACCTGGGAAAGGCTGGGAGATTATCTGATTTTTCACAACAATGTGAGGAATTTGTGATTTAATTTGAACAGCTTCTCGTGACAGCTGGGCAAAAATTTCTTTACATAAAAGAACATTCTGTGCAGTTTCCAACTTTGTCTGCCAGTGTGGAGAGCCTGAAAAATATAAATCAACATTTGCAGAAGGAAAGAGTAAAGAGAAGCTACCTTTTTGTTCAGATACCAGATACTGTGCAGTAGCTGTGAGTATTTGGTAAGATAAGGTAGTCAGTATCTTCCATCCAAATTGAGTATTTTCAGAATTTTATCTCAGTTAAGCAAGCACTATAAGATAACATTAATGCATTTTACTTCGATTTTACATACATGTATACTGTGAACTGCAACTAGCTCTGGAACTGCCTACTACATTCCCAGGCATTTTTTGAACTCTGCTTATGAACCTCTTCTTCTTGAGTTGCAATTTACTTTCAATGATACTTCTAGTTTTATTAAATTCACTTGACAATGAACCACCAAATAATGTGAAGTTCATCTATGTGCTTTCACAGGATTCATAGGCACAAAATTCTTGGAAGATTCTAGCCTGAGTAAGCACACAAGCTCTATACTGTACCCTGAATAACGTATGAAACATCTGTCTAGTACAGCATCCTGTCTACTCTCAAGACAGCACAAGCATTTGTGACAGACCACTGTGAAATAAAATCCTGCCAGTTCTTTTTAATCCAAAAGAGAAATAGATTAATTTTTAATCCCAAAAGTTTACAGCTTCACATACTGGCAGGTATCAAATGAATCAATCTAGTACCTGCCAGGTGAGCTGTTGGTAATTAATGCACATACTGCCACCACAGTTTCAGACCCAGAGAAAACATATGAGCCACAGAAACAAACAATGCATTTTGGGCAAAGTTAAGAATGAGCAGACAGTAGTTCAGTTCAGTTGAACTAATGGGATGTAACTGGCTGAAACACAATACCTTGGTTTGCTTTCGGTTAATGTGCTCAAACTTTTAATGACTAACAAAAGGTGCTCCAGAACACTTAAAATACAATCCTAGTAATTTTTTTTCAGAAACTGAGTAAACACATATGCCCAAGCAGAACCTAAACAGAAAACTTCAGTTTAAATAAGAATATTCTTGTTCACTATTCTTTCAAGCTATATGCTAAAATTTTCAAATAAATATCATATGCAAACCCATTTCTTGAGAACATGCTCAAAAAACAACATATAGCCAGATATACCTGGTTTTGATTTTGGCATGGGTCTTTTAAAGAGATTGACTGTCCCAAGGTCACCAATGTCTGGAGCTTGTTTCTGAATAGAAACCTAGGAAAGAATGAAAACATCATCTGATGTTTGTTCTTTGTTGCAAGCACACAAATACCAAAACAAAACCCATGCTACTTTATTGAAGTTTCTCTGGCAAACCTTGATATAGGCTGATCCCTCTAAATCACTTGGAATTTGAACATCCAAAGGACAGTAATCCTCAGGTATCTTTTTATCCAGGTCAATGTCAGTGTTCTTTATAACCTCAAACGTACCATGGTGAAGAAAAAGGGAGCCTAAGAAAGGAAGGACAAAGACACACATACTACATATAAAGCACGTTCCGCAAATAATGAAGCTCATACCACCGTTTTGGAAGAATATGTATATCTAAGTCTCCAAACCTCCACAGTTGCACAAATTTCTTAATGAATTCTTAAAAAATTAGGTAAATTAGAAAGCTCGTTTCGGCACATCAGCATCTCAGTCCTCCAGTGTGTGATGTGTAATGTTTTACAGTAAGTTAACAAGTACTATTTAATAATTATAGGAGAAAACCAACAGTGTTTCAAAATGGTGTCAGTAGATGCAGGGGAGGATTAAAAAAAAAAGAACGGTGTTTGGTTAAAACAAGACAAAAAGTTAACTGCCCAAAGTTTTGCAAGCAAGTAGCTTAAGGTGCAACACCCTTACTGATTTAAAGGAATGCTGATGATGTTTGGCTTGCACTCTTAAAACTGTGACAGTGTTCTGTCTGTAAAAAAAACCCTGTACAGCCAGTCATTCAGGTGAGACTGATAGAAGCAGATGCCCACTGTTGTGGTTTAACCCCAGCCAGCAACTAAGCACCACACAGCCGCTCACTCACTTCCCCCTCACCCAGTGGGATGGGGGAGAGAACTGGGGGGGGGAAAAAAAAAAAAACAAACGTAAAACTCAAGGGTTGAGATAAGAACAGTTTAATAGAACAGAGGGGAAGAAAATAATGATAATAATAACAAAAATAAAAATGACAATAATAATGGAAGAATTGGAACATACAAAACAAGTGATGCACAATGCAATTGCTCACCACTCACCGACTGATGCCCAGTTAGTTCCCGAGCAGCAATCCCCCACCCCCCAGGCCAACTCCTCCCAGTTTATATACTAGATGTGACGTCACATGGTATGGAATACCCCTTCGGCCAGTTGGGGTCAGCTGCCCTGGCTGTGTCCCCTCCCAACTTCTTGTGCCCCTCCAGCCTTCTTGCTGGCTGGGCATCAGAAGCTGAAAAATCCTTGACCTAGTCTAAACACAACTTAGCAACAACTGAAAACATCAGTGTGTTATCACCATTCTCCTCATACTGAATCCAAAATACAACACTATACCAGGTACCAGAAAGAAAATGAATTCTATCCCAGCTGAAAGCAGGACACCCACATCCATCCTAGCTGCATCCCTTTTACATCCAGAGCACAGTTTGTCTAGTTTAGGATAAATCATCTAAAAAGAGATATATCCTGGGCTGCATCTACAGCTTCTCCGTGAACATAAGATGAATAACCCTAAATTTGTCCTTCCCCTCCTTCACTGATGACAACAGGGGCCCAACATAACCAGTTCACATGTCTGCTTTGTATCTACATCTTAAGTTTCGTGAGATTCTGTATTCACTCTTTCACTCCATAATTGGTTCTAGTACTCTGGGCTGGTTACCCTCTCTTGCTGTAATCCATGAAATAATGCATATTCTCAGTATCATTCCTCACAAATGTAGGAATAATAGATACAATGAATCTATCTTCAGTGATGCTCTTTAGTCATACGGTTCAGTTTTAGGTAGTCCTCCGAGGAACTGCGAGTTAGACGCGATGATCCTTAGGAGTCCCTTCCAACTTGAGATATTCTATGATTCTACAATCTTCACTCAGAGGAAAATGCAACATACTCCTCAATTTTTTTTAAAATGCTTTACAGACCAAACGTAGAGAAAGACCTTGTAAATCTTTGGCTTATCTGTCAATTGATCAACTACATTGTCAATGCAGAATTGTTTCCATAGAGCAATCTTTACTAGAATCCTACACAGTCAGCCTTTAAAATCACTTTCTAGGTTGAGGATGGCACAGTATTTTTCCTGATAATAAAACAAGTTTTCTCTTTTTATAATGCTATCTCCTAATTACAATACACTTTAATTAAATGATATTATTTATTATTAGAGGTATTCCATCTGTTTTTCCAGTTACAAAAAAAATTTCATAAAATATAAACATTCCATGCTTGAGAAAAACAAAAGACCCTGCTGTTTACCTGCACTTCTGTAGCTCAGATCACCAAGAATTTTGTCTCCCACTTTTCTCAGTTTCCAGTGTTGTCTCAGTCTTAGCAGTTCAGAGTTGAAGTCTCTTTGTCGTTTATTTTCCTGGTTTTCTGCAACTGATTTGGACAATCTTTCTGCACCTTTCAACAGGATTTGAGCTGCTCCAGCTAATGACTTCTTTTTTGAAATCAACTGTAAAAACTGAGGATTCTAATAACAAAAAAGAGAAAAAGCTACTTGTGCCTTAATTCTCAAAAATTATTCACGGAAACTAATTGACAGTGATTGATAACTTAGTTTTGCTGGATGTTCAGTAGCTTATTTAGAATTACTTTTGCACTAGCATTGTATAGCCACGAGCAGCATCTTGACTTACAGTTTCAGCAAAGAGGCCTTTGAAATGAGCCTCAGCTCCCATCCTCAGCCTTACCCTGACCCATGAAGCACTATACCAGCACGTCGTAAGGAACGTTTTACTAAATCTTGTATGCCCCATACACAAAAAAATCCAGTGAAATGAAATTTTTAGTATCAAGCCATAGAAACTACACAAGTAGGTACAATATACCTGTTTTGGGGGAAGGGGATCCTGCACAACTGGATCTAGGGTCATGAACTTTTTATCCTTCACAATGCTAAGAACATCATACAACACACACATCTCAGTCAAGGCGCTTCTTAAGTTGTTCCGTACTGAATCCCAAGGCCAGAGGGATGGCTGAAACTTTACCAACCCTAAAAACAAAACAAAAGAAGGGGAAACGAAGGATCGCAAAAAGATACGGTGTAAGGTTCCTTCTTAAACCACAGAGGGATCACGACGGCGTGAAATACACCACAACCGCACGGCACCCGGACCCATCCTTTTCCGCTCCACCGCTGCAATTCGCTGGGACTCGGTCAGGAACGTCCCGGCCTGAGGATCCGCGGCCAGCCGCGGGAACCCACGGGGGAAGGCAAGCCCAGCCCAAGCGCCTGTGGGGCTGCCGGCCGGGCACCGCCAGCCGCAGCCCGGCGAGAGAGCTCGGGCTCCGGGCCCAGCCGCGGGCCGCCCGCCGGGGAGCCGCGGGCCCGCCGCCCCTCACCTTCCTCATCCTCCGCCTCGCCCGGCTCGGCCCAGGCGCGGCCCGCCGAAGCCGGCTCGTCCTCCTCGGAGCCGGAGCCCTGGCTGAAGTCGATGCGCTGCGCCAGGCGCGCCAGGTTCTGGGACATGGAGAGCGGCTGCAGGTAGGTCTCGCTGCCATCCAGCCCCACCTCCTGCACCTGCTTCTCACACGCCGACTCGATGCTGATGCGCACCGCCGGCACGCCCGCCATCTTGGAGCGACCTCCGACCGCGGCCGCCGGGCGTGCGCCCGGCTACGGGTGCCGGGCGGAGGCGGGCG